CAGAGGGAAGAAGCAGGGGCTGGGGTTTGGGGAGGGGGCACGGCTGGGCTGCCCAGGCTGGGGGAGCAGCTGGGCTGTGCCAGGGCTGGCTGGGCCGGGCTGTTCCCCCAGCCCCAGGAGACTTGAGGTGCTGCTGGTGACCGTGAGCCACACGTGCTGGGACAGACAAGGATATTCTGCTGCAAGTTTAGCTGACACCCCCAAAGGCAGGAGGAGAAGCCTTTCTCAACACACTCACTCTGTTTCACACGGGCACTTCCTAAACCATCAGAGTTCCTCGATGGAGAAAGGCAGGGATGTGCCAGGCAGCTCTGGGGCGGGAGCAGAGCCTGCCAGAGCACTCAGGACCCCCAAAGCCCCCGGAGCACCTGCAGAGTCCCAGGGGGCCCCAACCCCCTGCCCAGTGCCTCGTTCCCACAGCCCTCACCACTTCCAGAGACCTGAGCTGCTGCTCTTGGCTGCTGGGGAGAGCCTCCCCTCGTTAATGAGCAATTAACCGAGAGGCTGAGCCCCCTCCCTCGCCCCCCGTGTGCACCTTGCAGTGACGCTGCAGTCTCCTCTGTGACCCATGCTGGGGCAGCTCCATCCACTGCCCATCCCCAGCTGCACAGCTGCAGCTTCTGACCAAAACCCTGAAACCTCCCAGCGTTTCCTGCTGCTCCAGGACCCCTCCAGGGGACCCCAGCCCCACAGGACCCCCCCATGCCCAGCCCCTGGCTCGTCCCCGGAGTCTCGTGGGCAAAGGAAGCCAAGCCCTCAGGGTTTCTTTAAAATTAAATATTTTATTTTTTCATACATGCAGCAAATTGAATCAAGAGTATATGCCCATCTAAAAGGAGGTCTTCATGAGAACCGTTTGACAACACACAGCAGGTAGTCTAGGATGTAGAAAAGTCATCAAATACTTGCAGGTGAAATCAAATTCACAAACACAAACTGTTCAACAATAAACATTTTCTCTTTTTTTTTTTATCTTTTTTTTTTTTTTTCCCTCCTTGTTTTAATTGCCACTTTGAATGTGATCAGAAATAAACAGAGCTCAGGTGACACTTCCATGCATGGAGCCAGAGGCGTGTGACCATGCAGCCTCACCTGCTCCTGCCACAGCAGAGAAGCCACAGCAGCACTTGGCAGTGTGAGCAGGCTGAACCCTCCAGGTGCAATCCCAGCCTTTGGGAACATTGGGATCGTTGTGTCCTGTGCTGGAATCCCCTGGGTTCCTCCCTGGGGTTACAGCTCTGGGACTCACAACCAGCGGAGCGCATCGACTGCCCCGCGCCCGCTCATCTTCCATCTGTCTGCATGGGCTGGCCACTGCACAAACTCACTTATTTATTAAATGGATTAAATCCATCGATAGCTCCTCTGGTGATGGGTCTGGAGAGGGCTGCTCCGAGCCCCAGCCAGGGGACACAGGCACAGCAGCAGCTCCCAGCCAGGAACGAGCGGAGTCGCACTGGGAGCAGGGCAGGTTCTGGAGCTGCCTCAGACCAGCAGCCCCAGGGGGAACTGTCTGATCCACCCTGTCCCAGGGGAAACCAGCTGAGAGCCTGAAGCCACTTACCTGTAGCCCTGGGATGTAATCCAGCCAGGACTGTCAGGATGTGCCATCCTGTGCATGTCCTGTCTCCTCCTCTGCCCTGCCCCGGGGCTCTGGGTCCCCCTCTGCCAGTCCCCCTGAATCCAGGTGGGACCTGAGGCTGCCCTGGCCCTGCATCCCCAGCAGCTCCAGCTATGGATCTCTTGGGCTCTCTCCACACATCTGTGGAGCAGCAGGGACTGAGGAGCAGGGCTCTCCTGAGGCTCTCAGCTCTGAGCATCCTCCCGAAGCTCTGCCTTCCCCATCCAACAGTGAAGATTAAATCATCAAATGACAGTAAACGGTGACTCAAGCCCTGTCACTCTGCCCTTCCTTGGAGGAGTCCACACAGATCTGAGCATCTGTGCAGGGCCAGGCACATCCCACTGTATGTTCCTCCAGAAGAAACAGGCCATCTGGAAATAAGTCTTGGAATAAGAGTTTGGCAAGCAGCAGAACGGACAGTGTCAGGAACACTCAAAGTATGAGTCCTGAGAGGAGGAGCCGGCATTTGCCGTGGATCTCGGTCCCAAAGCTGCCTCCAAAGCTGCCTGGTGCCACGTCCCTGCTCCCCTGCAGCCCCTCCAAGGACACCCGGTCTGCTCAGCGTGCGGCAGCGCCGGCTCCATGCACAAGTGTCACCCCAACACAGACACAGAAGTTCCAAACAGAAAAGATGTGACTCCCCCCACAGCAGCTCCTGCATCGTGCCCACGGCCCCGGGGTGCCCCTGAGCCCCGGAGACCTTCCAGCAGCATCCTGGACAGACCTGGGAGCGCCTTCAGAGCCAAAGATATGGAAATTAAAAACATTCACCACTGAAGTAATACTAATTCTGCAGCAACGGGTTTGAAGGTCACAGTAACGCACATGCTCTGACATCAGCTGTGGTCTGCAGAGGATGGCGCGATGTCTTCGGGATGTGCCGGGCTCGGGGAGCCCTCACCGGCCCCCCGAGCCCTGGGCCTCACCTGGTGCAGAGCCCCTGGTAACCCCCTCCTCCATCTGGCACAATTTGCAGTTTTTCTGGGTTTGGTTTGGGTTCCTCCAGCCCAGGGCAGGACCCAAGGCCACGGGCTCAGCTCTCAGGCTGGCACAGGACAGTGCCCGTGGCCGGGTGCCGGGGAGGGGACCCTCACCCTGCCCCCAGCACTGGGACAGCGCCTTCGCTGCTGGCAGCCTTTAGTGCTCAAGGAATCAGTAAAAGAAGAAAATAATTTCCAAAGGTAGAGTTTCATGTTTATAAAAGATCTACAGCCTAGAACTTCCTCTATGGAATTCCTCATGATTGATAAAATCCCACCCATTTCCCTGGGGCCTGGAGGAATGAATGGCTGCATCCAGCAGAACCAGTGCTGGCTCAGAAAACACACCCTGGTCTGCAAACCAGCCAGACTGGGCTGTGACGGGAGCGGGGTGACAGGGACTGGGGCATGCTCACCTGGGGCTCAGCCTCTGTGAACCCAAGAGTCAGCCAGGGCCAGCAGCCGGCCACCAACGGGCAGTGCCTGCCTGCTCCTGCCCTTCTCTGCATTTCTCTGCCCTCCTCTGCCTGTTCATGCCCTTCTCTGACTGATCCTGCTCTTCTCTGCCTGCTCCTGCCCTTCTCTGCCTGCTCCTGCCCTTCTCTGCCTGTTGCTGCCCTTCTCTGCCTGTTCCTGCCCTTCTCTGCCTGTTCCTGCCCTTCTCTGCCTGTTCCTGCCCTTCTCTGCATTTCTCACCTCACTCCTGCCCTTCTCTGCCCTCCTCTGCCTGCTCCTGCCCTTCTCTGCATTTCTCTACCTGTTCCTGCCCTTCTCTGCCCTTCTCTGCCTGCTCCTGCCCTTCTCTGTTCACTCCTGCCCTTCTCTGCATTTCTCTGCATTTCCCTGCCTGCTCCTGCCCTCACCTGCCCACCCATCTTCTCCTTCCCGTCCTTGCTCCCTCCTGCCTGTTCCTGCCTGCCCCTGCCTTCCCGCACGCCACGGCTCTGCTTCACAAACAGCTGCTGGAATCGTCTCTTCTCATTCAGGTTTGTTTTTTTAATGATGCAGAAGGTCCTGGATTACTGACTAAAACCCCCAGGAATTTGGTAGAAATCAGGGAAATCAAGATGTCTGTGGAATCCATGGGTTTGGAGCCTGGAAGAGAATAGCAGAGGGTGGAAAGTAGAAAAGTTTCCGTTACAAATAGCCCTCAGTGCAGCCCTTTGGTCTTGGGCGTGTTTTCAGTTGGTAAATTGTAAACCAAGAATATAAATGTGTTTTGTTTTGGTAGAATATTAATATCCTTTACAGAGCTGTTACATCTCGACAGTGTCTGTGAAAGATTTATGCGAGTGCTGACAGAGCGTATCAAAACTGCAAACTGTTCCAGATGTTACAAAAAACCCCCACCTCTCACTTAGAAAAAGGTTTGCTGTGATTTACAGGAACTGGCATGGGAGTGGTTTGGAGTGGCGATGCCAGAGCGCGGGGAAGGCGGGTGGTGGGGGATGCTCCGGGGAGCCGGGCTGACCCTATGGACAATGCATTGGAAAATAGAGGTCTACAAGCAGATTTTTCCACACTGATCAAATATATCCATGTCTTGAACAAAAGGCTCCTCTAAGACAAGCTCACACTCATCGCAAGCTTCAGCACAACGCTTTAAGCGATCGACCATGCTTAGCATTCCACAGCAACGCTTTGGGAGTAGCTGGGTCACTGGGATCTCAGCGTCCCACTGCAAAAATTACAGAGACCGTAGCAATTTGGTATATTTCTGTTTAAAAACTCTATTAGTCACCACCAACTATAGTTCCTAGAAGTATCACTGACCGTAACTGGCACCCCGGACAGCTCCGGCTAGGGAAACCAAGCTAGCGAGTGGCACGGACATGGAGCGGCTCGGAGGAGCGGTCGGTTTGGGAGGGGATGTGTGTCTGCACTGCTAATCCCGGAAGACGAGTGTCCTATGTACAGGGCGACCTGGCGTGGGACAGCGAGGACAGGGCTGCGCCGCGACTACACGTTAATGACAAACTCGGGGTTGGTGTAGGAGAATCCAGCAAACTCGTTCTGGTCCAAGTTCATGATGAAGAGTTTGTCCGTGGGCGTGAGCTCCACCGGCTGCCGGGTGAACTCTTTGTCGAAGTTGGAAGTGTCGCGTTTGTCCTTCTGTTAAACGGAAAGCACAGAGTTAAACTGGGGAAGGAGTGAGGCAGCGAGAGGTGACAGCACCTGAGAGGTGACAGCACCGAGTGGCCAGGGAGCCAGGCTGTCCCCAGGGGAGCCATGCTGTCCCCAGGAGAGCCACGCTGTCCCCAGGAGAGTCAGGCTGTCCCCAGGAGAGTCAGGCTGTCCCCAGGGGAGCCAGGCTGTCCCCAGGAGGACCAGGCTGTCCCCAGGAGAGTCAGGCTGTCCCCAGGAGAGTCAGGCTGTCCCCAGGAGAGCCAGGCTGTCCCCAGGAGAGCCAGGCTGTCCCCAGGAGAGCCAGGCTGTCCCAGCACTCCACACTCCACGCAGGTTTCCAAGCCACCACTGAGCAGGAACTCACAGCCCTGTACAAGAGAAGCAGCCCCGCGCCAGCAGCAAGAAGAGAAGAACAGTTTAACACACCTGAAACACACGAGCAGGACACAGAGGGACAGGGGAGAGCCGGGGGGTTGGGAAGGGAAGGGAGCATCCCTCCTCTCCTGTTGGCTGTGGGAGAGATGTGGAGCAGTCCTCAGCATGCAGAACCCTCACTGCAACCAGCACTGCACAGGAGGAAGGAGCCTGGAGGAAGCAACATGCCTCGAAATGGCAGCAACAGTCACTACCATGTCAAAATTAGCACAAAATAATCAGCTGTAAGAGCTCTTTCTGCTTTAAGCTTGACTTTTGAATGATGGCGTGATGCGGTGTTAACCAACACTGGTTCATTGATGGAGGATGTGATTTGCTCCAGGGTTCTACAGAGAAAACGCACAGCACTTCAAAACCTCCGAGAAGGAAAATTCCACATATGCAACATTTTCCCCTTGCAATTTCTTAAGAAGAACAACTTTTCAGCTACACCCAAGCCAAAAAAGGGAAGGAAAGGACATTAGTGTCAGGATTAGCGCCGGGAACCTGCAATCAGCAGTGCGGAGCCAGCGCTGGGAGTGCGTGGGCTGCTCCTCCAAACCCTGCAGATCAGAGAGCGCCTGGCTCAGGGCTGTCCGGCTGTGGGAGGTGACAGAGCCGTGGCTGGAGGGGTGACAGCACTGAAGGTACAGCACCCCAGGTCCGTCATCCACAGCCCCCGGCAGTGGAGGGACATTGGCAGCCGGGAACTGGCTCTGCTCTGCCTCCTTACTAAAGCCAATAGGGACAAAACTCTTCTCCATGTCCCTACACAGGAGAGACCCCAACTCCCTGCTGAGGTGACCTTCCCCTGCCGTGACACAGGTGGGACCCTGTCACAAATTTAACGCCTTGCAGAAACCTGTATTTGTTTTCCATTTTTCCCAGACTTTGCCCTTGAAGCGTGGCCCCACCAGACCAAGTCCTCGCTGTGTTCTGCTGCACCAGGATCTCCAGCCCTGGATTCATCTGCCAGTTTGAACTGAGGAAAGGAACCGTGGAGGTCCTGCAGGTCCTGCACCACACCCCATCCCTCATGGCTGACCTCCCACTGCTGTCCTGGTGAAGGACCTGGCAGGAGAGATGCTGTGTCCTCCCTGCCCGGTCCCTCTTGGCCCAATGGGACCCTGGGGCACCTTCATGCCTCAAGCAGGAGCATGGCCAGGACACAGAGCCAGGGCTTCCTGGAGCACCACACCTCAGCTGGACTGAGCCCTGGGAGATGAGCCAGCAACGCTTCAGGACCCCTGAATCATCAGGGGATGCTTGGAGGTTCCACTTGCCATAGGAAACATCCCATCAGGATGGCTTTAGCCTTGGGGAGGAAGATCAGGAAAAGCCAAGGATGATGGAGAAGAGACGAGGTGGGAAGAAAAGCAGGTCTGGATGGAAGTCAAGGAGCCGAGAGAGGAAAGGCAGGAGAAGAGCCAGGTTGAGGCTGTGCTGCGGGGCCTTGGGCGCACGGCGACGCTCCGGAGGACACCGGTGTCTGCGGCTCCCAGCCCGGCCCTGAGCGCTGAGTCCCTCCGGGGCTCCTCTCTCCAGCACAGAGAAGGAAGGAGATGTGGATTTGGGAGCACAGAGCAGGAGCAGGGAAGGGCAGACAGGGCGAAGGGGTGAACTTGAGGTGCAGAGTTCTGCAGGCAAAGGGTGGAGCAGTCGGGATGTGAGGACGAGCCCACCTCGATGGCAGAGGGTCCCCCAGGGACGAGGGCCGGTGGTCCCTGGCAGAGCGGCCGTGGCTGTGCTCGGGGTCTCTCTGAGAAGTGGAGCCAGGCTCCTGGAGGGTTCTGAGCTCACCACATGGCTCCTGAAGGCCACATCCATCCAAACCAACCTGGGCCAGGACAGCACTGTCCTACCAAACCAGGAGCTTCTGCTGAGCAGGAATGCTGTGGGATGCTGCAAAGAGGAACGACACATCCACATGTGATGGGTGCAAGTTGCCACCGTGGTCCCCAGCCCTCGGGAGTGCTCAGCCTGGGAGCCCTGGAGTGGGAAAAACCTCCTGCCACTGCTTTTTGGCAGTAGGAAGCTCTGGGAGAGGCTGTGATGTGCCCAGGAGGGGGCTTGGGGCAGCCCACTCCCCTGCACTGCCCTCTCCAGCAGCCCCCCACTCCCTGGGGCCTTGGCTGGAAGCTGAGCACGGCAAAGTGCAGGGTGCTGGTGTCTTACCTTGAATTCTGCCTGAACTGGTGGCAATTTGGCCTCTGTCAAGATGATGAACAGTCTGGGAGCGGGCAGGGAACGGCTGCGTGGATCTCATGGAGAGAGGGGAGCACAGGGGACACTCAGGGCTCAAAGTGCCTCCAGCACTGGGAGAATTGACTCTGGGAGGTGTCGAGGAGCACGGCGAGGATCACAGCGAGGATCACGGTGAGGATCACAGGATCATGGTGAGGATCACAGGATCAGAGCGAGGATCACAGTGAGGATCACAGTGAGGATCACAGTGAGGATCACAGCGAGGATCATGGTGAGGATCACAGGATCACAGTGAGGATCACAGGATCACAGCGAGGATCACAGCGAGGATCACGGTGAGGATCACGGTGAGGATCACAGGATCACAGTGAGGATCACAGGATCACAGCGAGGATCACAGCGAGGATCACGGTGAGGATCACAGGATCACAGTGAGGATCACAGGATCACAGCGAGGATCACAGCGAGGATCACAGCCCACGGCGCAGCTCCAGGGATCGGCTCCCACCAATGTTCAGGACCGCTGGGAAGAACCTTGCAGCGTCCAGAGCACGGAGGCTGGCAGAAGTGGAGTCCCAGAGCAGGAGGGAAGCTGACAGGAACCTGTAATCCTTCTTTAGCTGCCCGCAGGCGCTCCTGGGAGAGCAGGCAGGGACAGACGGACAGATGGATGGATGCATGGATGGATGAGTCACCGGCGCTCGCTGCAGTCTCGGGGAGCGCGAGGCGATGCTGCAGTGGGCTCTGCTCAAGGAGCTCCCCGCGATCCCTGAGCGGCCACACAAACTCCTTCCCAGCCGTGGCTGCTGCGGGAGGCTGTGGGAAATCATTCCCTCCTGGATGGCGCTTCCCACCTCGGAGTTTTGGGATGAAGGCAGAGGAAGAACGATCCGCGGCTCCAGCATCCCCCAGCAGCCGGGGCAGCTCCCAGCCCCAGCGGTCGGAAGGAACGGCCTCGCTGCACTGCAGAAACTCAGCATTGCCAATCACATGCAGCTCTCTGGGGCGTGTTTTCTCACTTTTTATTTTATAATCGGTATCAGAAAAAAATAAATTGGCACATTACAAATCAAGCAGATTGATACAGTGACAGCCCACGAACATCTGCAAGGGTATAAAAGGAAGCAGCGTGATTGTTGTCCTTTCAAGAGGAATTCACCGTTCCTGAAAGGTTTCCTTTGATGCCACAAACAAAACTCGGGCCATTTAAATACCTAGCTGCAATTTTTAAGGATAGAAATACGGGTTGAAACAAGTTTCTCTATCAGAATCCACAATACTGGTCAGAGTTAAGTATCTCCCGTTCGGGTCAATACCATTTTTGACACATTTAAAGCACAGGTAACGAACTCCATCAATGGCTTTGGCATTTGAAAAGAAGAAAAAGCTTCGCTAGGGAATGGATGTTGGTGGTGTTCACTAGGGTGACCACGGATTCAAAAGCAGCTCCTCCAAATTTCCCATTTACCACTGGATGTTTGCTTTGATTTTAAAAAAAATGCTACTTAGAAACTGCACAATCAGGAGAAATCTTTGCCAAGGGCAGCTCTGCCTTCCTGAATAACTTATCCCACTGCTGGGGACCCAGCCCAATGGATCTGTGCAGGGAAGGGGAGCTCTGGTGGGGCTGGACACAGCCAGAAAAGGAGCCAGAACCAGCATCTTGGCTCTGCAGAGCTTTAGGGAGGACAGAAACTCCCAATGGTTTCATTAAAAACACTGACTTGCCACTAAGGCTAAATATTAAAATTTCCTGATTGTATTAAAACACTACGAAAATGAGAGAGCAGGAATTAAAGCACAAGATGAAGGGATTTCTCCCGGTTGTCACCGTGCCTCTGTTTTCATTCTGTCACCCACCGAGCTGTTCCCATTTTCTACAAACAGAATGTTACAAACGCCCATTTGCAGCAGTTCTCGCACATCACTCCCCTCCAGTGATGCCCCAAATAACAGGAAGACACTTGGAATTCGGTCACTCTAGCAGGGAACTAAAGAAGACCCACGGATGAAGTTTTGCAATGGAATGTGTCACCACAACAGCAGCTGGAGCTGGATGACAGATGCAGGGATGAGATCTGCACAGCAACTTAGCTCTTGGCTTGAGGCTTAAAAAACTCAGAGTTAACAAAGGAAAATCCTTCGAATTCTGACTGGTCAATGTTCCCGACGACTTCCTGGTCGGGAGGAGTGAGCACGGGTGGATGGCGAGTGAAAAACCGGTCGAAGTTTTCAGCATTGCGTCCGCACTATGAGAGGGGAGAAAAGAACCGTGGTGGGTGGGGCAGGAAGCGTGGGATGAGCCGGGAAAAGCTGCAGAACACACTCTGTTGGTCAGGAGGGCATGGGATGGCACGGGATGGCATGGGATGGCACGGGATGGCATGGGATGGCATGGGATGGCATGGAATGGCATGGGATGGCACGGGATGGCATGGAATGGCATGGAATGGCATGGGATGGCACGGAATGGCACAGCATGGCATGGAATGGCACAGCATGGCATGGGATGGCATGGAATGGCACAGCATGGCATGGAATGGCATGGAATGGCATGGGATGGCACTGGGATGGCATGGAATGGCACAGAATGGCATGGGATGGCATGGAATGGCACAGCATGGCATGGAATGGCATGGAATAGCATGGAATGGCACAGCATGGCACAGAACGGCATGGGATGGCATGGAATGGCATGGGATGGCATGGAATGGCACAGCATGGCATGGAATGGCATGGAATAGCATGGAATGGCACAGCATGGCACAGAACGGCATGGGATGGCATGGGATGGCATGGAATGGCATGGAATGGCACAGCATGGCTCGGAATGGCATGGAATGGCATGGGATGGCATGGAATGGCCCAGCATGGCACGGAATGGCATGGGATGGCACGGAATGGCATGGAATGGCACAGAATGGCTCAGAATGGCATGGAATGGCTCGGAATGGCATGGGATGGCACAGAATGGCATGGAATGGCACAGAATAGCACGGAGTGGCACAGCATGGCATGGAATGGCATAGTATGGCACAGAATGGCACAGAATGGCACAGAATGGCACAGCCAGGGCCTGGCACAGCCCGGCTGTGCCACGGGAAGCAGCAGCAGTGAGATGGGTTGTGGTGGTTCACACCTGGTAGCTGCTCCCTGGGCAGTGCCCACCTGGCGTCCCCCCTTCCCCATTCCATCACGTCTGGACTGCTCAGAGCTTTCCTCCTGCTCGGGGAGAGGAGCCAGCCCTGGCAGTGCCCAAGGCCAGGCTGGACAGGGCTCGGAGCAGCCTGGGACAGTGGGAGGTGGCCCTGGGTGGGCTTTAAGGTCCCTCCATCCCAAAGCCCTTCTGTGATTCCATGGTTCTGATTCCCTTCCCTACAGTGCAGTCAGACCAGCATGGTCTGCAGCCTCACCATCCCCAGCGGTGCCAAGCTCTCCATTTCATTTTCTTTGCACTCAAAACCAGGCTCCTGTAGCTTCCCAGGCTGCACACCCTGATTTTCCGGAGTGACAGCAGCAGCAGCTGGGATCAGGTGGATGCCAGGTCACTGCACAGGCTCAGAGCAGGCTCCATCCCTGCCTGCCACCCCCACGTCACATCCCTACGGGGACTCTGCTCCCAGGACTGGCCACTGTCCCTCCTGTCACACACAGCCAGCTCTCTCCAGGCTCTGTCTCCTCACGGGCAGCACCTCCCAGTCCCTCAGGCCTCTCTCCCGTGCCCCAGGGAGAACACACGCTCCAAGCCCCGCCACAGTTTTTCCTGGGCATTTAACTTTCATTTGTTAAGTAAACAGATTTGCATTTTTAATAAACATCGGACTAAATATAATAAAATATTAATGACAAATACATGCAGAAGTCAATGTTTCCCAGCTCCTTCCTCTGCTCACACGTTTCAGGGCAGACAACATGAATATCCATCAGGCTCTGATGGGCTGCTCCTTTGGCAGCTCTGTCTGTCCTTACAGCGCCAAGTCAGACTCTTGCTCTCCTCCAGCCTCTAAACAAAGCTCAAGGGGCAATGTTTGAGTCAATCCAAGCCCAGCTCCAGCCCCTCCAGCATTGGTAAGGCCACATCTTTACATTTCTGGTCTGGCTTGGTGAAACTTCTGCTCCCCAAGGCGTCCCCTGCCCGTGTCCCTGGGCTCCAACACCTTCCCCAAGCCATCAAATTAACATCCAAACAGCAATTAACTCCTGCAAATGGGAGCTGCCTGCTGCACAGAGCCCAGGGGCCAAAGGCAGGGCCCGAGGAGCCAGGCTGGGCTGGCCAGGGCCACTGGGACGGCACAGACTGGGAGCACTGGGAGCACTGGGAGAGCCGTGGTGCCCTGGCTCATCGGGCACTGGCACCCCTGGCAGGGCTCACCTGCTGAGCCCAGCAGCTCCCAGCACACGGCCAGAGCCCCCCAG